ATTTCGTCTTTTCTAATAATCTCACATCTCCAAGCACTAAAAATAGCAATTTTTAAGATTTTTGATTTTATATGTAAAATATTGATTTTGATATAAGATTAATATGCCTTTTAGAATAATAATATTTACATTTTTAATTATTTAAACAAGTGTTTAATTAGTCTAATTTTACAAGTTGAAGTGTTTGAGGAGTTAACGTAAAAGTTGAAGGTGCCATAAGATTTTTCATAAAAAAGTACAAGAGAGAGTTTATGTTTAGTACTAACCAATTAGCTAGTTAGCTTTCAATCCTTGTATGTTTTCCATCGTTATATGCGTATATGGATTTAATGTTTGAACAACATGGGAGTTTTAACACTCCCTTAAGTGTCAACCAAATAACACAACCGAGATTGAAACTTGAAACTTAAAATCCTCTCCTTGAAATTGAATGAACCTTACTATACGTTTTGTTAAAATATATGGAAGTGATCAAACATAAAGTTGAAGGAATGAAATGAGACACGTAATGAGAAAATTTTGGTGTAGAAAAATTCTACATAACCTAAAACGCTTTTGGATTACAAGCTAAGGAGAAGCAAAGTAAATGACAACGTGGCAACTTGAGGATCCTAACTAAAAGCCCTAGCCCAAGCCCAATACTGACTCCCGTACAAAATGTTAAAGCTAAATTCCATCTTTAGCAACAGGTATAAAAAAACATGCTGCTATAGTTTGGAGTTTGAATACCGCTCAATGTACAAATTTATCATTGTACTTGCATGGAAAATTTTTGTGGAGTTATTAATTTTTACTTTAATTTATTCAACAGTTTAAATATTTTATTTGACTTATTGGACACTTCAATTAGCAAAATTAGACTGGATAAATATTTATTGAATAGTTAAAAATTATATTCCCTCCGTTCTAAAAAAATAGTTCACTCTCTATTTTTACACAGATTAAGAAATATGATTAAAAAATAATTCTATTCATATAACTTTTATATTATGTTATCTTAAATAACACATGAGTAATTATTATATTGGAAAATAACTAAAAATTAATTAGGGTTATTGAAAATAAGGTAAAATTTAATAAGGGTATAGGTAATGTAGACAATCTTAAATATTAAACTATAATGCAAAAAGAAAAGGATGGACATTTTTTTGGGACAAACCAAAAAAAAAAAAAAGAAAAAAAAAAAAAAAAGATGAACTATCTTCTTGGGATAGAGGAAGTATAAAGTATTGTTCCAAAAATTATATTAATCACATGACAAAATAATATTTTACACATCAAAGTAAAAAGAAACTTTAAAAATTATTATTTTTAATGTGAGGAGGAATTCAGAGTGCCACGAGATTTTTTTTTGTCAAAATTTAAGAGTTATATGTGTAATATTTCCTGAGAAAATAAGGTTTCAAGCAAATAATTTTAAGAATGTATCGTGATCATGTTTGGTTATAAAATAATTTTTATTTTGAGATGTACAATTACAGTATTTGGTTAGTTTATGGAAACATATGAAATAAAGTGAAACAAATTACAATAATAACTCAACATATATTTTTTTTTAAAGCAAAATCAGATTTTTGCATTAAACAAAGGTAATAAACATTGCGAAATAGAATTTCACACTTTAAACCCAGCATAATAATAGGAAACCCGAGCAAGAGAATGAGTTCCAACATTAGCTTTCCTCCTACACCATTATATACCTAAATATTAAGCGACAAATAATAGTATATTTGTCTAAATGGGTTAGAGTTGTGTGTTAGTGTCACAAATAAATGACCTGTATACAACACGGGTTTATATGGACCCGACCGTATTACAGGTTGACTCATCTAACCCGTCTAATTCATTTATTTAAGGATAAAAATGTGGTTTCGTATATAATATATATGTTAAGTAGGTTATGCCGGTACGCATCATGTTTTTGACTCGTTTATAACTCATTTAATCAATTTAGTTGAATTTTTTCAACTCATATATGATTCATTTAATTAAACAGGTTACGCATCTGTTACTCATTCAATTACCATGTTGTATTCATATTTAAATATTTGATACAATTATTTAACGAGTCGTATTCATATTAAACCTAATCGCGTGGCATATCAAGTGGAGTCGTATTCATATCGAACCTAATCGCGTGGCATATCAAGTGGATTGGTATTGAATTCGACATGCAAACTCATTTTAATACCCCTAATATTTGAGATGAAAAAAAGATTTCTCACTGCACGTGTAAAGGTAAAAACTAAGTTGCATATGTTTAGGAAATTTAACTTTATTTTATTGAATTACTTTTCTAAGTAATGGGAATCAAAACCCCTCCATGGAGGAGTATTTAACCATTTAGTATCATACTTTCCATTGGAATATTATCAAGTATAAGCTCTTTATATCGACTTGGAATAAAGTGATTAGCAATCAGCAAGTAACATAATTTCGGTTCCTTCTTTAAATTCCCCAATTAGCTCCATCTTCTTTACATTCTTTGACCAGAATATGAAATGTCTCACATGATATAAACTTTCTCTTTTGGAAACCTTCACATGACATAAACTATGCTTCAGTTAGCAATCAAATGATATTTCCATTTCTCCTGACTTCCCTCAAGATGTTAACATATAAAGATAGACTTTACCTATCTCATTAGGCATTCATTTCATTATTTGACATTAAAAGAACATATAGACTTCATACAAGTTTAGTATCAAATGGAAATCCCGAATATATAAATTCACCCATAAATTTTATTAATTTAATCTTGTGGCACCCTCTGTTTTTACTTTAATCAATCAAACACTTCAATTTATAAAATTACACCTATTAAACTTTTTAATTTTTAAATTTATTTTATTAAACACTTCAACTTGCAAAACTAGAATAATTGAATACTCATTAAAAAGTTGAAATTTGTGAAAATTATTGTTCCAAAAATCATGTTATGAAATCGATATTTTATAGATAAAAGTTAAAAACTTTAAAAAATGTTGATATTAGTATCGAAAAATGTGTAATATTATCAAAATTTATAAGTTCAAGTGTATAATAGGCTATCCGCAAAGTTCAAAGTGTTAAAAAATTAAAGTTGTAAAATTTAAGGGTAAATTTATGCATTTAGTTGTTGAAATTGATGTAATGCAAGTTATCCTATCACATACCCATTTTGAACCAAAATAAATCTAGAATAGTACTATAAGTTTCATGGTTTGAACTCTAAATTATGAGGTAAAATTTTTTAAAAAAAAAAAAAAAAAAAAAAAAAAAAGAATTTCAAGGAGTAGGGCTCCCTTCAAGTTTCCTCCTTCCTCCGCGTTTAAAAGGATTCTGCTTTGCATCTTCTCTAAAACTAGCTAAAATAGTTTGAAAAATTAATCAAACTAAAATCAATTACTTGAAATCAATTCAAAATCCTCAAAATCAGCTTATTAAGTTCAATTGATAATAATATATAAAAAAAATAATATTTACGGGTTTAATTTAAAGATAAGTGCATATTCAATATGAACCAAATCTCAGGATTTTAGTTCCCATATTTGATACTATAAAAAAAATAATAATAAAAAATGAACAAAAAATAATTAGCAAGTAGGGAAGCAGCAAGCCAAGACTCAGAAATTCCAGCTCCCTCTCCTCGTACTATAAAAAAGATAAAATAAAAAAAAAAAATACTAAACAAGAAAACAAGAGCAGATAGGCAAGCAGCTGGCCAAACAATGCAAAGTTAGTTACTTGTATGTCCAAAAATCACAAACAAAGAGACAATAAATAAAAGTATAGAACTGCTTAACTTTCTCCGCTCATAACTCACTTCACTGGCTCAAACATACAAAACCTTCCACAGTTTTTAACTTTGTATCCAAGACCTGCCTGCTCCTTCTCAAAAGGCATTTGCCCCCTTTATTCCTCGTTTCTTTTGTTTCTTGTTTCCCATTTTTTGTAAATTCCAATGTTAATTGATTTTACTCTCCAAACCCAACCACTATCTCTTACCCATTAATTCTAACGCCAAAAAGATTATTGCTTTTTACTATTTTGGTAGTCAGTTCCGTCAAAGTTGGTCTTCTTTTGTAGATCAAATAAAGAAAAACCTCAAAAGCTTACTTCTTTGTGACAAATTTTGTTTCTTTGAAATACTATTTTGATTTTAAGTGTATGGCTCTTCTTCTTCACTCCAGTGCCTTTTGCTTTAGTGGTGTGGTTCATTCTGTTACTTTAAAACGGTGCAATGCAAGAGCTTCCGTTGGTTTCTCTGCTCCTCCTCTCGTTTCCATTCCTAGATTCAGTTTACAAGGTATAATCCTCATTTCTTGAAATTAGAAGTGGAAAAGCCTCAATTTTGATGCTTTTATGTTGTATTTATCTATTGGGTACATTAGTTCACAATTTTGTGGGAGATTACACTCTGAAGAGCAGAGTTAGTACTGATTGGTAATATGTTAGCTTTTTGGCTGTTTCTATGTAAGCTTGCTTCTTATTGGAGCTTAGATAGGGTTTTAGTACAGGTGGTTGGTCTCATTTTTAGGGAAGTTTTAGTGGGTGACAGTTGTAGCTTAGTTGAGTCGAAGTAATTTTTTTTCACAGTATAAATCAAATTCTTACTAACAAATTAAGAACCTCATTTTAATGGAATGGTAACATCAGCTACTGAAAATGCAAGTTACTAATATAAATGCAAGTTATAATATATATATATATATATATATATATAATTTATATATATATTGTATGATGGAAAACCAACATGCAATTTGAAATGTAAGAACTGATATTGTATGATGGGAAGCAAATGCAATTGAAATGTAAGAACTGATCAGCATGATTTTTTTTTCAATTAGATTAATTGAAAATTGTTATCAGGTCAAGCTCATGCCGAGCAATCTCCCACTTGAATTGCATAATCCTTATTTTATTGAAGAACAATGATGTTCTAGATAACTTAGATTTGAGTTTTTGATGAATTTATGTGTTTTCAATTGAAAAGTAACTTGCTTGATGGTGGTCTGTTCTACAATACGATCTTCAGCAGTTTTACGTCAAAACAACTGATTTGCTTGCAAATAAAATCTTAACGACTTAAAATGTCCGATGGAATTTATTTAAAAGGTCTGTTGTATGATCAGAGCCTTTAGGACCAGACACTACAAGGTTTCGATGGTTTTTTAGTTATATTTCATCCATTGAAGTTCATCTCAGCTCATTTTGAGATTGTCACTTTTGAACTGCATATAATTGATCATCTCATGTATAAAGTCCTAATGCCATTTCTATTCGAAAAATCATTTTCCTTTTTCATAAGCACATTTCTTTTTGTTCCTAATTTTCGGTAGTTGTTAACTTTGTTTACTTCTAACTTTTGTTTGTCTTAGGTAAAGCATTCTCAGGTGATAGGTTACCCGAGACAAAAGACTCCTCCTTGGTGGTTTGCTTTGGGGAGATGCTAATTGATTTTGTCCCAACCGTTAATGGTCTTTCATTGGCTGATGCACCTGCATTTAAAAAGGCTCCAGGAGGTGCACCAGCAAATGTTGCAGTTGGTATTGCTCGTCTTGGTGGCTCCTCAGCTTTTATTGGGAAGGTATCTGTGTAACTGTCTTAATATCTGCTAGTCATTATTGGGATATTGAAAGTGGCACATAAAAACTGTTGGGAAATGAATCATGCATTGAAATAATATAGAATAATTTTACAAGTGACTTGGTGTTGGATCTAGCCAATCCAATTGGTTTTGTGCAAAATGGGTTTCTACATTTGCCAAATTATAAGTCTACCTGTTTGATCGCAAGGCTTTGCAAGTGGGGTTATTCTAACATTTCAAAGTGTATGAGATATGTTTGGATTACAAAATTGTACAGTATTATGATTGGTTTTTGCCCAAATGGACCAAGACAGATGGAGGAATCCAAACAGATTTTTTGGAATTAAATTGAGAACGTTTACATTTAAAGAAGAAACAAGATTTGGTTGGGAAAATAATATAAAACAGAAACTAAAAAGCACTCACACAAAAAGGAAAAGCAAAGAAAGAAATGGCATAAGAAAATGAAAAGGAAAAGGAAGAAATTATGTGTAGTTGGTTGGAGTAAATAGGATTTGAGTTTCAAAATAAAAGTCCCGCATGATTTAAACTGGTGAATGAAGTATGAAATCACTATTGACAATTCAGTATGTTGAGGCACGACGAACTTGCTTCTTGCTTTCCACACTCTTAGTAGGAGTGAGTATCGTAGGTGCAGGGTTTCATGGATATAGGTAACTAATAGTTGTTCCACTTGACAGCAAAATAGGTGCTATCCCTAACTCTTGACTGACATCAAAGATAATTGCAGGCCTTATTTTGGTTTTGCCTTGTACTTTTATGATGTTTCACATTGAGCCATATAAGCCTTATTGGAGTCATCGTATATCTTGCAGTCAGTCTAACTTTAGTCAACTTTATGCCATCTTATACTTTATTGGACTTGGAAATTAGGCCTACATCAGTTGTCTTTATGTTTCTCTTTTCGCCTTGCACTGTTTAAGGCATCATCCTTTTTCGTGTTTTTTCATATTTGTTAAGTAGAACCTAATTTTCGATAGGCAGTAATGACGTAGATACAAGGTACAAAGTATTCCTAGACACTTAACAGAGTGAAATGCATAATGGTACAAGTTCCTTGAACTGTCCCTGAATAAAGATAGGCCTTTTTTCCTATGATGTTATAGAAATGGGCAGCCTAATTACTTGCTTATTATTTTATGATGAAAAATGAATTGAAATAGGATTGGTTCCAAAATATTGCTCTTGGTTAAATGCAAACGAAATCTAGGTTAATGGTTTATGTTTGTGCATTTCTCAAGGAAAGAAATTTGACTGCATGTTGAGTATTTGATGGTGGATCTGCTAGTTTCTAGCATAAACTGATTAGTGAATTAGGAAGAGCTTCCTTATCTGGAAGGTGGGCTTGTATATGGAATGCAACTTCAACATATTTAGAGTAAATAAACACCATGCAATTAGTTTATTACTTTATGCATGTACATTTTGGACCACTTACGGCCACCCTCTAGCCATTGAAAAATCATAATTAGGTGATCTTAGTGATTTTCAGGTAGAATTCCACGATAATCAATACACAGTGATGTGACTACACAGTGATTGTCATGATGTCTTGTTACTTTTAGGCTTTATAAATCCTTTGGGATGCAGAGCTGACTTGAAATTTTTTCCTGAGTTAGTTTAAAGAATGCTGAAAATTCATGGTTCACTTTTTTTAGCATTAAACCTGATGATTAAATGGCTATTTGGCTGCCAGTTAGAGCTTTAAAGCTGAAACAAAGTTAATTCACTGTTTACAGTTGAAGCTAAAATGTGCTAATTGGGAAACCAATCTATTAAAGCTAGAAATGTCAAATATCTTTTCACTCCATCAATACTAGCTTTATTCTGTTGACCATCTCATTAATTTACACTTTCCAAAATCTTAATTTTGTGAACTTTTCCAAAAAGAAACAATGAGAAAACATTTATTCTCATCTGTCTATGGGAGTTCAAATCTTCTCTTTGACATGGACAGGTTGGTGAAGATGAATTTGGCTACATGCTTGCTGATATTTTAAAGGAGAATAATGTGAACAATGAAGGGATGCGTTTTGATCCTGGTGCACGAACTGCTTTAGCATTTGTAACATTGAGAAGCGATGGAGAACGCGAGTTCATGTTTTATCGTAATCCAAGTGCTGACATGTTGCTTCAAGAAGCTGAAGTTGATTTTAATTTGATTAGGAAGGTATGTAAGAATGCTATTTCTTTCACTACTAAAAAGAAAAAAATGGTAATTATATACAAACAAGAAAAAAAAAAAGCTACAAATAGTTATTTGTGTAAGGTATTGGGTTGTGTTGCAGCCCCTTTGGATTAATTTAGTTCAGTCACTTGTGATGTACAGCATATAGCTGGCACACTTAAACTTGAGCTCTTCAAAGCGCAAACATGTTTTCATTTCAGACTTCATTAAGTCACCAGTACCAGCATTCCAGTTCATCATGTATTTAGGTCACCTTGTTAGTCAATAGTGCATAGGTTTCATGCTACTGCCTTTTCTTTTACATAAGTCTTACTGTTGTTTTTTTTTTTTTTTTTTTTTTTTTTTTTTAAGTTTACGTTGTTTTTTTTTTTTTTTTTTTTTTTTTTTTTTTTTTTTTTTTTTTTTTTTTTTTTTTTATCGAACTCAATTGACTTGTTAGACAACTACACAAAATGATTTCCAACATATGACCTGACCACAGTTTCCTGTTTAAACTAACTTGACAATTTGAAGTAATTTTTATATTTTACATGAAAGACCTACCGATTTTCAGTTCTTCAATTTTTTTTCTGTTCTTGATTTGAAGACACATAACCTTTTATATAATGTTATATTATACTCCTTGATTTCTTTTTCTCCTACCGTTGTCTATCATCAGTAATAATGATAATTGAATTATTAAATAATTAGTTGTATTAGATTTATGCTCGACGGAATATTCATAAAAGAATAACAAACATCACCAAGTTGAAACATGGCAGAACTGTCAGCACCAATAGGAAGTCAAGGATATTGTAGTATAACCTCTTTATGTGAAAAGAAATTTTCAGAAGTGGGTGAATTTTAAATCAAATTTCATACACCTTCTCATGCAGTGATTGGAAATTTTTTTTTTTTTTTTCCGTTTCTTTTAGAACTTGTTAGTTACCATTATTTGCTATTTGGTGGAGCAAAATCTCAGTCGATAGAACTTTGATTTATTGCTCCCCTTTTCTGTTCCATGGCAGGCAAAAATCTTTCACTATGGCTCCATAAGTCTTATAACAGAGCCATGCAAGTCAGCACACATTGCAGCAGCAAAAGCAGCAAAAGATGCTGGTGTCCTATTATCTTATGATCCTAACCTGAGACTACCATTGTGGCCTTCTGCTGACAGCGCCAGGGAAGGCATTTTGAGCATCTGGGAACTTGCTGATATTATCAAGGTAGTTAATAACCTTGCCCTGGCCTTTTCTTTTCTTACTTGGCTCCAATTAGAGTTCGAACCTATGTTGCACGGAAACAGGAACAGACACTGGGAAATGGCATGTTCAAAAATATAGGAAACAGAAACATCGAGAAATGTGCAAAAATAAAAAATGTAAGGTATTATTTATAAATATAAAAATAAATCATTATAAACCATCAAAGATATCCAACAATAGGTCAAATGCAATCAACATTCATCCATATTCAAAAGAAAAAAAAAAAAAAAAAACTAATTTGCAAGTTCCATACTCATAAAAAATAAATGTTTTATGGATTCGTATTTATTTATTTATTTCTTTTAAATTAAACAAATGTGTTTCCAAGCAAATTACTCAATTTCCAGAAACAGCTCTGGAACATTCTTGAGGAGTTTCCAGATGTTTCTGTGCAGGAAATGTTTCAGAAACGTGGAACTGGCAGCCAAAGAGAGTTTCTGAAACATAGGTTTGACTGACAACTTCACAGCCTAGGGATGAATTTGGTAGCCAAACCCAATGTCTTTGTTATTAGTCATGTTCCTTGCCTTGTTGGCGGCAACTTTGATGACCACTCTAACTTATATGTTTCAGATAAGTGAAGAAGAGATATCTTTCTTAACTAAAGGAGAAGATCCATATGATGATGCTGTTGTCCGAAAATTTTTCCACCCAAATCTTAGATTGCTGCTCGTTACTGAAGGTGCAGATGGTTGCAGGTATTACACTAAGGTGAGTCTCAAAATTGTGCACTTCCATTATGTCGATTATAACAATGTTTTCAGGACGTCCTGATTTAAGTTGGATAAAAATGTGAAAGATAATTTCTTTTATGGGCAAGAATATACTTCTAGGGCCACAATAACATGTTTGCTTCCGAGACTCAGAAAAATAGAAAGAGGAGAGATTGTGTATTTTACTGCTCACTGAAACTTGTAGGATAACAGGAATGCACAAACTTGAAACTGATTTTACATCCATGTCAAAAATTGAACTTTCCTGTGCTTATTGGATTGTAGATTCAAGTGATTCAATTACTAGCTAATTCTCAGGCATCTATTCTCAAATTGTTCAAATAATTTGGAAAATTTGCAACAATGTTGGAAATTGGTTCCATAAATCTTCAATATTTTGGAAAAGATGAAAGTGCAATTTTCTCATGAACATTACTGTCACCTTGGATTTTGAAAAAATCTAGGGCTATGTATGGTGATCAAGAGCTGTTCTAGTGACTATTTCTAGTAAGTGTGGTGGATTTGGCCCACAAATCTGGAGGCTAGTGAAACAGACTATAGTTTCTAAACTACTTGAGCTTTCTATTATTCTAATACCATTTGAAATGTTCCTTCTGGGTGTGGTGGTTAATTCCATCTTTTGACAATTGTATGTCCACAATTCCGCGGTGTAACATTGGCAGGAGTTCAGCGGGAGAGTGAAAGGTTTAAAGGTAGATGCCATAGATGCCACAGGTGCTGGAGATGCTTTTGTAGCTGGAATATTGTCACAGCTAGCTGAAGATTTCTCCTTGCTTCAGGTAGTGATATTAAGAATTTAAGATGCAAAAGATTATTACTCCTTAGAGTCAATTTGCACATCTACATGCATACACATGTGTATATCTGGTATCCTCATCATAATGGAGGAAATGGTGACTATTATCTGTTGCATAATGCAATAGTCATCAAGCTAGCAGCATAATTGGTCAAAATGCACGCACTTGATCGTGCGTGGAGATGCACATATTCATGGTTTGTTACTGAGTACTACTTGGCAGCAGCATTATAAAAATCAAGTTTCTAAATTCTAACGTACACATACGCAAATATTTCTGTCCATATTTGGATAGTTTCATGGTCATTTATCTTGTACTATGTGTAACTCCTGAATCTGGTAGTACTTGATGTTTAGCTTTCATATTTGCTTAGACAACTATATATTACGTCTTCTATTTTAGGGCCAGTTTGTTATTGCTTGTAGCAACTTTTGGGCAAAAATCAGAAGAATCCTTCTGAGTCAATGAAGGGTAGATTCTTAAAATTTGATGATTGAAGCCTAAAAATGTTACTAGCGGTAGCAATATCAAACAAATAATTAGTATTCATGCATCTAATTTTGACTGGTTTGAACTTGTAGAATGAAGAGCGACTAAGAGACGCTCTTAAGTTTGCGAATGCTTGTGGGGCATTGACTGTGATGGATAGAGGTGCAATTCCAGCTTTACCAACTCGCGAAGCTGTGCTGAATGCCATCCTTAAGTCTGTAGCCTAAAGTAATTTCCGTTGAAATCTTTACAACACCAGTTTTAAGCCAATTGTTAGGATTGGTGATAACCAATAATGCCGGTGTTGGTTAATAGTATGTAATCTAATTTGCTTAAATAATTGAAACATTACCTATCCATTTCATCCTGTTGTAAGTTATATCATAATCCGAGTGTATAATTAGTTCAATTCGGCGGATGGATTATATTTAAGCTATGTTTGGTAGAAATAAATTCCAATAAATTGTGGAATTCATTTATGATTTTGTGTTTTACTCCTTGATATGAATAAAAATGCGTTTATTAATTACTCAAATATAAGTTTGTGGAGTTCAAAATTACTGAAATAAATTGTCGTTTGCAGAACTTTTAGAAGGCAAGCTTGCTATTTCTGTTACGTTTGTTGGCTATCTTATTCTGCAATTTTTTCTCTAACCCTCTTTGTAGAAACAAGAGGTGATGATTTAGGTGTTGATCTATTCAATCAGATGGTTGTGTTAGGAGGCATCATAATGATGTGTTCTTGGTTTGTATCTGAAAACCAGTTTGATTTGACCCTTGATAGCAAAAAGTTGCAGAGTCTGATCTCATTAATTGCTTAGTGGAGCCAGTTATTTTAAACCTAACGATCAAGTTGCATAAAGATGGGGGCTCAGCCTAATTTTATCAGTTGCTTAAATATTGTGGACCTAGATACTTTTGCACCTAAAAATGGCCATGAATGGGGATGGATTCCCATGACCCGCGAAATTTATACTATTCTTATCTATATTCATTTAAAATTTTATTATCCGTATCTATTTAAAACTCATTTATTTATTCATTCGAGTATTCATATTTAAACCCGTTTCAATTTTTACTCTTTGTATCCGTTCAAAATCTATTTAAAATATTTTTATACAGGTAAGGTACCCATGAATTTTAACTATTTAAATCCAAACTTATTAAAATACAATCTTTATTAATGGTGGATAGAATACCCGTGGGTACCCAATATTGGGTAGCAGGTATTCAAAAATCTATATGTATACCATATCCGTATTTATTATGGATAGTAATTTCACTATTCGTATCTGTCTCAAACCCATTTATAACTGCCTATATCATATTTAAACGAATCGGAGCAGAGGGACACCTTAAAATACCCACACTGCTTCCATCCCTAGTCATGAGGAATTTAGAGTGAAATTAAGATGTCCAACACTTAGTGCTCAAAGCAGGACGAGTATTTATGAATTTTAGGATACTCTTATTCATATCCATTTAAAATTTTATAATTTATATCTGTTTTAAATCTGTTTAAAATATCCTTACGCAGGTAAAGTACTATTTAAAATTCCTTAGTATTAAATCCGAACTTATTTAAAATATAATTTTTTACTATTAATGAATCAGAATGAAGTAGGTATCCTAAATACTTGCACCGGTTCCATGCGTTTCAACTTCACTGGAAAAATGATTAAAATGCAATCATCCAAAAGAAAAAAATTTAAAAATATATTTTGCTCTCAATTCAAACAATTATTTCAAATTAAATAATTGCGAGTCATTTACATCAATAAAACTCAAAATTAGAGATGCGTAGTCTTATATATATTTTGCAAGTGAGTATTAATTTTATTTTAATTCCAACTCCATATTAATAGCACATTAACATTCAATTAATCATTCTCAAAAAAAAAAAATTCAATTAATCCCTAAAAACAAAAGGTAATCAATCAAAAATATAAAACCAAACCCAAAATCAAATATAAAATCAACAGAATTTAATTTAGTCCAATTCAACTAACCAAAAAACAGTTAGAGAAATTTGAGGCAATCCATTCCCTACACTACGATTCCGAATTCAAAGCACAGCCTTACACACAAATCTCACTCAACTCTTTAAAACCCATAACTCTTTCATTTCTCAAATCATTAACACATTCACTCAAAACATTTGACAACAAAACCAACGCACATACATTTCCTTTACTTAACTTTTAAAAGAACAAAAATGGCTGACGACGCGCAGGACCTGGCCGACCGTGAGCGCATTTTCAAGCGTTTCGACTTGAACGGCGACGGAAAGATCTCTGCAGCGGAGCTCGGAGACTGCCTGAAAACCCTCGGCTCCGTCACCCCGGATGAGGTTAAGCGTATGATGGCGGAGATTGATACTGACGGTGATGGATACATATCATATCAGGAGTTCACAGATTTTGCTACAGCTAACCGTGGCCTAATGAAGGATGTTGCTAAGATATTTTGATGTCATAGCAAATTCATTATTTCTCCTTAATTGTTTTTTGCTTTGTGTTATTTGTTATTTAATTTAATTCTTTTTTTTGTTTTAATTTAATAGGAGAATGTGATTTTATTCTTAATGGTTGTGAGAGACGTCCAGTGGATTTTGCTTTGGTAGTTAAACTGTAACCACTTGTCTCCTATTTTTTTAAATATTTTTTTTTAATTATTATATATATCATCTTTTGACAAATTTAATTTGACAAGTTTAAATGCTTTTTTTTTTTTACAATTTTCCTTTGTAGGAAAAATTAATTGGGTGTTACAAAAAAAATTTTCAAAATTAAAAGCGATTAAAGTTAAAAAAAAAATAAATAAAATTGCACTCTTTTTATAGGAAAATTTTTTAAAAAATTTTGGAGTTTGGGGTACCTCGCTCCTGCGGTCCCTCCTTCCTTGATCTCCAAGCTCAGACCAACAGCAGTATTCAAATATTCAAACATTTTTCTCATTGCAATTTATGATTATTGATGATGAAATAATTAAAAATCCACAAAGTGTTATTCTATTAATTTAAAATAAATAACGCTCGATTTATTATTTAATTAATATCTGAGATTCTCACTCAGGTATTAAATCTCGAAATTTTCACTTGGCATTTGGTTTTTTATGTCAGTAGTTGGCAAATTATCACTCATCTAATTCTTTCAATCTTATTCAATGTTTTCTACTTCTATCAATTATGATAATTTTTTCTTTTTGCTTTTAAGATTGAAGATTGATTTCTATTCCCAATTAAAAATTGAGATACAAAGTTTGACTTGAAAACTTAGAAGCAATGATCTAGAACTTGTTATAGAGTCATAGACATTAAATTAGTCTATTTTCCTTTACGGGATAACCTGTAACTCCCATGAATACTCTACGTGGCATTCAAGTTATTTCCAAGCATTCATGATTAGAAAAATATGAAATATTAACAACTCAAAACAATATTCAAAACTACTTGTGGTATATTCCTTTTGCTTGTACAAGTGAAGATGCATTGCACCACAAAATGTTAAGCTAAGGTTGGTGATAAGGGGTTCAAGGAATGGCCCCATCGGTCCTCATATTTTCCATGTCTTCCTAAAAGATTAGTCCATTCGGCAATTAAACCAATCACAATAGATTTTTTTTTTTTAAACAAATGTTTTTTTATTAGTTTCATCGATGGTTAATATCCTCGTATATCAGAGTTGAGATTGGAACTTGCATTTCTAGCTTCAAACTTATTTCTCCCTTCAAACTTATTTCTCCCGCTATCTGGTTAACTTTCCCTTTCTCTCACAGGAACAGGAGCTTTTGTGGCACCAGTGATTCAGCTTTGAAATAAAGCAAACTCGTATGTATATTGACTTACAAGAATTCGGTGAAACAAAAGAAAAAGCCTAAACTTTAAATGATAAATCTGAAACACTCCTTCCCATTAAGGTTGGGGCAGGAAATTAGATGATATCTACATGATTTCTTGGTAAATCCCTTTTCCTATTTACAGTTTAACACATTTTCGATTCTGATTTTCTAACACTTGTCTGCAAGCAAGCGACTAAAATAAGAAAACAACAAAAAACCAAAAGGAAAAAAAAAAAGTGTTTCAGATAGTTCAGTGCACTGCCTCAACGACAATAAAGGTGATCATCATCTTCAAACTCTGAAACTCCTAGCATTGCCAAAGCCAAGTGACTTCTCATCTCACTTTTTGCCTGTTGTGGCTGGGGGTAGCAATCTATGATGCCAGAAAAATTGGATTTCTTCTTATTGTGGTATACAGGCTCTTCTTCACCTCTCAATATAGCGATAATTTCATCGATACCTGGCCTTCGAGATTCCTCGTTACTTATACAGGCAGCAGCAGCTTGAATCATCTGTGCAATTTGAGTTGTCTTTTTGAAAGTGCATTTAAGACGTGGATCGCGCAAATCTTCTATGGCTCCTTTACCCTTTTGCAGTAGAGGTTTAGCCTGCCAAAGAAACAAAAAAAAAAAGGTTTGTCAGGTTTATATCACAACCAAGTCATGCAAAGACTAGTGACAATAAAAATAGTAGACAAAATGACATGTAAAACAGTGCAATGTCTAATTATAATTTATTAGACACCAAAGTTAATTCTAGAGGCATTCTTGTTATGATAGTTGTAGCAGAACTTTCCGCAAGGTTTTAGAGAAGTATGTGTAGGTCCATAAAAGTGAGAAATTGCTCTTTCAGAAAAATCTTGGCTCTGTAGAAATGGTCATAGTCATCGGATTTGTTTCCTGAGAAACCTGGTTTTGGAGCTACTGAATCAAATCATAGTTTCTCTCTCAAACACAAACATTATTCTATAGTAGACATCCATGCGCTGATCCTTGACTTCAGAGAAATTAGGTAATTTTGCTGATATAAAATAAAATTTCCTGAAAAATTTACCCATTTGATACCCTTCCATATCAATATGCTGATTTCTCCTTCACAATGCAGTCAAGATCTACTAAGAGTGACATAGTTCATGTAGAAAAAGCAAATGAAGTTCTTAATGGAGTTTGATGGCAGAAATTGTAATTGTTGTTCAGAAAACTATGGTAAATTGAAAACAACCAACCAAACAAACTCATGTTTCACATAATACATCAACTTCAACAAAGTGATGAATTTCAGCGAGTTTTTCGGGTGAACAAGAAAAACATTTATTATGCTAGTTTTAGAAAAATGAAATTAAAAATTGATATGTGAAACACTAAAAAATTTCTGCACAATAAAAGAAAAACAGTGATTTCATGTTTGCAGAATTTGCAGGTTAGTTCACATATTCAAGAGATCATCAACAAAATGTGGTTGCAAATTTAGGGATACTGTCAATTTCAAGATAAAAAGATGACCCCTTAATTCTTCATGGAAACTTCTAGGGGGACCATTCATTCAAGTATCACAAAGCAAAAGCAGCTAACAAGAAGTGTAAAAGAAAATTATTTTAATAACCTACCCACAGCACTAAATTTTCTTCTCCAGGAGGCCTTCTTGCTTCAATTGGTTTCCTTCCAGTTATTAGTTCCAAGAGGACCACCCCAAATGCATAAACATCGGTCTTATCAGATACTTTACCATGCTGGAAGTACTCAGGAGCAAGGTAACTGTGGATTGAAATTTTAATCAACAAATGAAAGGAATTTTAATCTCTTTGCTTAACAATTGAAGGTCAAATATGTTTTCTATTTTCAAAAATTTCCTAAAATCATTACCCGAATGTTCCCTTGACTGTTTTACAGAGGAAAGGTACTGAGGGTGCGGAGGTCCAAGTAGCCAATCCAAAATCACACAACTGCAAAGACAATCATCACTATAAATCAATAAAAATAACATGAATGGACTAGTTGAATCTGAATTCTTTTCAATAGAAGAAGTCAAGTTAATGAATTTAACCCTTGAAACAATTTTCCTTACTTTGGGTATTTTCTTGGAAGAAAGGAGTATATTTGAGGGTTTAATATCTCTATGAACAACACATCTCTCAGTTCCATTATGCAAATATGCAATTGCTTGTGCAATTCCTAGAGCCACCTTATATCTCACTGACCAAGGAAGTGTTGAACCACCCTTTACTCCTCTTTTCTTCTCTGCAAATGGGCATAACATAAAACACTGAAAATTCAATCAAATTTTAAACCACTAATTGAAGAAGAGGAAAATTTACCATGCAAATGGCGCTCCAAGCTCCCACCAGAGACATACTTGTACACCAAGAATAAACCCTCTTCTGGATCAATACAATAACCCACAAGGGGGACGATATTTGGATTATGAAGAGAGCTAGCAATCATCAATTCTCTACAAAAAGCCTTTGAAGATTCTTTATCCTCCTTGTCTAATCTCTTAATAGCCACAGCTGTCCTCAAGAATCCAACTCTACCTCTAAAAACAAAGCTCAAAGCTCCTCTTCCCAAAACTCTACCTACCAATTGCAACAAAATGATTCAAAAACTCAAGACAGACACCAAGAAAAAAAAAATTTCAAAACAGTAGACAATGGATCAATTTAGTACCTTTAGAGAAATTTAAGGTAGCAGCAACAATTTCACTATAACTGAATCTGACCAAAGAATTTGCCACTGGAGAGATACTCCTCTCTAAAGACTGAATTCTCCTCCATTTTAGTTCCTTAGCTTTAGTTTCATTCAACCCATTATCCAAATTCACCATCAAAACAGTTGCAGAAGCTGAAGAATTCATGTTCATGGATTCAAGCTCTACCTGAGAGCAGAAACTAAATCTGAAAGAAGAGTGTACTGATTGTGGATCAGCATTTGTTAGCTCTGCACCACCACACCCACCAGACTCTGCAAGTAACCATGCCTTGTTATGCTCTAAATTTACATTCTTGATTTTGCTGCTTTTATTGCTTTTGCTTTTCTCATTCGGGTGAAAACAGGCAAACCCAAGTCGCCAAACCATTTTTGTTACAAGGGCTTTTACCTTGAGCTCATTATGGTCACAGTAGAGATCTGTGGATGTAGAAGAACAAGAGCAGAGACCATTTGGAGGCTCTCTTGGGTTTGTACAGCTACCTTCAAAGAAACCCATTTTAAAAAAGCAGATCTCAGTAAGAGCACAGAAACCCAGAAACCAGAAAAAGAGAGAGAATAAAAAAAGTGAAAGCTGCCTGCTTTGCTTCAAGGGTGGGAGAGAATTTCTCAGGAGAGAGGGAGGGAGAGAGACAGAGGAGAAATGGATTAAAGGGTATGGGGCTATGTGTTATGTATAAAAAAAAAAAAAGAAGCATGTATTTTGTAGGTGAATGCCTGAGTATTAGTTTAATGTGTGTGAGATTAAAGAATGTAGACATGAAGAAGAAGAAGAACCGTATGGTCTTCTTCAGATAAATAACCTAGAAAAATAAAAAAATGGGTTTTGGTTCTAATTCTTTTTTTAAAGATCTAATCTTAATTGATGGTATTATTTAAAGAAGAGGGAGAGATAGAATTGATTTGTATAGAAAAAAAAAGAGATTCTTGCTGCCAATATTGAAGTGGACATAGAGAACCTACAATGTACGTTCTTTGCATAATTTGGATTAGTTGAATAAACCAAAAGCAAAAGAGAGAGTAAGAAAGAGAGTACCAACAACCAGAGAGAGACTTGTGGGTTAACTATTTTTCGGATTAGCCAATGAATCAAGAATCATTACTACAAAGTGGAGAGAGAGATTATTAGTTTGCGTATTATGTGAAGAGAAAAAGGTAAAGCTTGTGGTTTTATCGAGGTTTTTTTGGTAAATTGGGTGTAGAGACGAGAAAATTTATGATTAGGACATGAATCACACCAAGATGACAATGTAGTTTGGTGACCATCCAACACCTTACAACTGCCAACAACCTCTTCCGGCAACCCAGCTAGTCTAGTTTGTAATGAACCGACCATCCATTTCAAATATGAATGAAATTCAAGAATTTTTTAATTAAGATTATGGATTTGAATCTCTGATATCTAAAAGTACCAAATAGGTTGAATTAGGTACATTTGAAGGATAAGGCTATGCCTTCTATTTTTTTCTTTTATTGTTTTTTTTTTTTTTAAAGGTGATTAGATTGGTTATAAAGTAATTCATTTGGAAAAATCTGTCTTCGAGTTTTTTTTTTTTTTTTTTTTCCAAAATTCCCATCGCATTTCTATTGTTGAAAAAATAATTGATGATCCCTCAAACTTAGTTTAGTTAAATTATCTAATCCCTCCATCTAAAAAATAGTTATTTTTATTGTTGAGTTCGGAACTAAATAGTAATTCAATAATAAATGTGATGGACTAAATAGTTTAGCTATTAAACTTGAATAACCCATTTTCAAAAAAAAAAAAAACATAAATAACCAAATAATTAAATACTATAACATATTTAATAGAAGCAAAAGGCAATTTTAGACAGAAGAAAAGGAATCTTGTAGCTAATTTCATTTAGCACCACTTAAAAAGTGTCTTTTAGATTAGTATTTCGTGTATAAGAATGCTTAACACACGATAGAAGAGCTAGAGTTTGAATCATCATAGAACTAGGCAGAGCACAAAAGGCATGAACAAATCCTGCATCTTCAAGTAATATCCTGTTTTTTTTTTTTTTTTTTTTTTTTTTTTTTTTTTTTTTTTATAGTAACGCATAGTCAATTATTAAATTAGAATCATAGTCTTATGTATATTATTTTTTTTTTTTTTTTTTTTTATAGTAACCATATCAATTATTAAAAGAATCATATCTTTGTATATTATTAGTAAAAATTGTATGCATATGTTAAATTTTAAATTTTATTATGTTAAGGTTTTGAGAAAAATACAATATTATCTAATAAATTATACAATTAAAATAAAATTAACATGCATAATTTAAATTATATTTTTAAAAACGATTGTGATATAAGTATTTTCAAATTAAATTATTAAAATCTACTCCATCCACATCATGAACTGTTATTTTGTATAAACAGCAATCACTTTGATTTGATTTTTCTTTTTATAAGTTAAAACCAAACCGAAACCATTCTATGATATATATTATAAAATAATGATATTTATATTTAAAAAAATGAGATTGTCATTAAAATTTTTAAAATGAATAACAATTTTATTATATGATTTACAATTCTAATTGTTTTCAATTCAAACCCAAATAACTTTAAAACAATAAATTATTATTACTGAGCTTAATCAAATATTTATGATTTTAAACGATTTGAATCGATTTAAATGTTTTTATAATCAAATCGAATCGAATCGAATCAAATCAAATCGTAAGTTTAATAATATTACAGAAAAAATCTCAATTGATTTTTTATTTTTTAATATTTATGATTAGATATTTTTGAACAGGCTTTCAAGGAAGATAAATCTCATAAATTTATAGATGGTATATAGCTTATTTTTCCTTCCTTAATTAATTACATCCAACCTAAATATAAATGTTACTAATGCTCCGTTTGTTTCCATAAAATAATTTATAGAAAAATAACTTGTTGAAGAAAATATTTTTCATTCGACTTATTTTCCATTATTTGGTTGTAATATTGAAATTAGTTAAAAATATTAAAATCTTTATCTCATAAAACTATAAAAAAATATTAATAATAATAGAAATTTTATAATTTAAAAGTTTTATTGTTAAATGTGAGAAGAATGCAAAAAAAAAAAGTAAATTATGAAAAAAGCCATTGGTAGCCGGTAGTAAATAGTGACTGGTGATAGTAACTATAATGATTAATAAATTAAAAAAATATAGATTTATAAGGTTTGTCAATATACGGAAAATATTTTACTCTCTAAAAAATGAAAAGTTATTTTTCTTAAACAATGATTTAATTTTCCTTTAACCAGAAAAATATTTTTCATTGGCTTATTTTCGTGAGCGCCCTAATTAATGAAAAATTGTGAAATATATTTTACTGCAAGATATTTTGCTGAAACAAACCAACCTAAACAAGAATATGAGATCCTTAGTCCTTACTCCTTGCTCTACGCAAAGTTAAAAAAGAATCAAACTAAAGTACGTTGGCCTGACAGAAGCCAAAATTTACCTCAACTCTCAAGTGTTGTTCATCTTATCAGAAAAGTTAAATCCTTTCCTTTTTGGCTCATACATAAATTCACCACTATATTTCTATGAAAAACCTTATAGCACCGTCAGCTTCCACTTTTAACGTATTGAACATTTCAATTTATAAAATTGCGCATATTAAACATTTTAATTGACTTATTGAACACTTTAACTTACAAAATTAGATGGATTAAACACTTATTGGGTATTTGAAAAACATGAAAATTTTTAAAATTAAATCAATATTTTGCATATTAAAGACAAAAACCTTAAAATTTTATTTTTTTGAGCGTGATGAGGTGTGAAATTATTACAAAAAAAAAAAAATTTAGGAGTCCTACAAGATAGATTTTAAAGTGCACGGTGACACAAGATTTTTTTTATTAAACTTTAGGGTTAAATTATGCATTCAGCATTTCTTTCCTTTGTCCAATTTTAAACACATTGGTCTTATTAGCTTATACTCATACATTCAACAATTATTTTTATTTTATTTTACCTAAAGTGATAGAGTTGTTTTAAATTAGACAAAATAGATCATAAAGCTTTGCTAAATGGCACAAATTGCGCCTGATGCAATTTGTGCACATTTACAATTATACTTTTAGTGTGACATTGATAATATTTAGACCGATAAAAAATTTTCTAAAAGTATCTTATGTTGGGTTTAACACAGATTACAAAAATATAAGTATATTCCTTAAAAAAAAAAAAAAAAAAAAAAAAACTTAAAAAAAAAAAAAAAAAAAAAAAAGATAAACAATAGTATTATTGGGTCATGGCATAATACCTTATGCTTAAAAAAAAAAAAAAAAAAAAAAAAAGATAACAATAGTATATTGGGTCATGGCATAATACCTTATGCTTACAAAGCTCATATTTTCAACATTTTACCATTTGCTTTCAAATTCCATCAATTTGTAAAATCCTATTTACTCTTTTACTCAATTCTTCATTGAAGTCATTGAATAGAGAGTCCATTTCCCATAAGGGGATTTTCTTCAAAGTCAGACTCATTTGGATTGAAGTAAATCATCTTCTCTTAGTTTTACATTTTAGCATATTGATCAAGTCATTGTTGCCTTTTATGACAGCTAGTATTGTATTGGAAATCAATTGCTATTCGTCTGTCTGTTTTTAGAAAATAATTTATTTTTAAAAATGTTATTTGAAAAAAAAAATTTTGACACTTGATTTTTTTATTAGTTGGTTATATTATTGAAAATGAGTTAAAAATATTAAAATTTTTTACTTTATAAGACTGAAAATATTTAAAATCATAAAAATTTTATATTTTTAAATTTTATCATTAAAATATGAGATGTATAAATAATAAATTTTAGTAATTGTACGTAGTTAGTGGTGGTCGGTAATGATAGATTTCGACCAGCGGTGACCGATTATTATTACACTTGATTAGAAAAATATTTTTCGATAACCGGAAATCATTTCAAATCACCAATATATACAATTTAGGTAAAAATTTTTCTGATATTCCCTAAAAAAAAATCTATCAACGCACTAAAAAACTGTACAAAATTGTGTTGGATTGGAACATATATTTGGACAAGACATGTGTATACATGATTACTATAAAGCCAAATTGCTAAAGGACAGAGTTGGTGAAAGTCAACATCTGAAGTTGCATGATTAGCTTTAGCTGAGACATTGTTAATTTAGTACATCACAAAAGTACTTATGTTTGGATTTTTCATTGTTTTCTGCTTTCGACTACTATTGTACTAATGAGTTAAAATTGACTCCAAAAAATGAGTAACTACCAATTTACCTATGCATCATGTGACTGATCCATAAAATAAAATAAAATAAAAAATCTGTAGGTTTTAATGAAATATTTATATAAATCATTATCTTAATTGTAGGGGAAAAATTACAATTAGGAAATAATTATGGAGATATACAGCAGATAATAATTCTAGATCAAAATATGGTTTAACTAGAAAATACTAATAATGCTTTTTTTTCCACATGTCTTCATGCTCGGATAAGAAAAAGTATTTAGATAAAACTCGTCTAACAATAGAGACTTAGATTTTAAACTCATATCCTTCTAAATAAACTAGTTGTGATTAGCGCTTCACACTCTGCATTTTTTTTATATTTTACTTAAATAATTATTATTATATAATTAATTATATTTAAAATCTCAAAAGATAAAATTGGTTATTTGAAATTTTATAGAAGGATGTACATCAAAAGAAGGATTGTTGATTGTTATATTCAATTTTTTATATAAATTTTAATTATGTCTTTTTATTTATGTATTATCTCATAATTTTAGTTAATAATATGTTACTCACGTGAGATTTATAATCTGCTGTCATCATTAATATACAATAAAAAAAGTATAGTCATGCATCATTTATTTTGCCAATGAATTAAACCTATAGACAAAGGTACTAAATTAAATTGATTTGTGTCCGCAATATTATAAATTCAAATGAGTTTCAATAACCACAAATAATAAAATATATTAGAGTCATATTTGAATACTATAACTAAATTTTGTATTTATTTTGATTGATATATTGAAATTAT